TAAAAAGCCCTGACTTGCAGTACTAACCTATTTCTCTTTTATAAATATCCCATTATAGCCAATTTAAAACAATTAACTTGATATCAATGAAGGAGGAGTTGGGAAGAGATGTGTACAAACGGCTTCAGCACAGCATCATCTATCCCCTGAACCATTTCTTCTCTTCATGCCTACAGGCACTGCCTTAATTCATCTCTTTCACACTGAACAAATGATAGCTATTATTGTTAACAGAACCTTTATGATCTTCTGAACTCTATCTCACATCCCTTTATCTGACAGTCTCCAAAATTAAAGACACACCACGTTACCCCTCTGCCCCTCCATTGGTTCTCCATTGCCCGGTCTTTATCTTCACATATAAAGCCCTTGATATATTTGTTCCTACTGACTCCTGAGCTTCATTTCCTGTGACACCACCACCTATAGCCTCTAACCAGAAACACTGGCAAACATGGTATTCCAAAATATATGATGCTATTCTGTACTTCTGTAACTTTGCTTTTTCTGTTCCCACTTCCCCAACTCATCCACTGAGTAAGCACTATTCATCCTTTCAGACTCAACTCAAATTCCTTTCCTTAGAAAGCTTTTCCTGAATGTCTCCCACCTTTATATAACTAGTATATTTTAGCACCTCTAATAGCCTTTATTGAATTTATTAATTTTTTCATATCCATCTCTTCTCACTAGACATAAATTCCTAGATCTGGATCTTATTCATGCATGTACCAAGCAGGCAGTGTGGTGATGGTATACAGCAGACTTTCAATAAGTGACTATTATTGTCTGTGGCAACTAATGCCCTAAGACAAGCATATGCTAATTGCTCAACAAATGTCTGAATGGAAACATGTAAATGTGTTCTTGCTATCTTCCCAAGACCAGAGTAATGCTAAAATAGTTGTACCTTATAGATTATTAGGAAACCCAAGATCTACTTCCATAGTCAAAGAACTGGTACCGTAATTTTTTTCCTATTATCCTCTATAATTTCCTAATGCTACCATAACAAAGTAGCATAGACTAGGTAGCTTAAACAAGATAAATTTATTTTCTCAGAGTTCAGGAGGCTAGAAGTTCAGGATCAAGGTTTCTCTAGGGTTGGTTTCTTCTGAGGCCTCTTTCCTTGACTTACAGATAGATAGTTATCTTCATGTTCAAATGGCATCCTCCCTGTGTCTGTGTCTAAATGTCCTCTTCTAATAAGTACAGCAGTCATATTGGTGTACCACCCTACTGACCTCATTTTAACCTAGTTACCCAAAGGCCCTATCTACAAATCTACTTGGATTCTAAGGTACTGAAGATTAGGACTTCAACATGTGAATTTTGAAGGACACAATTCAGCCCATAACAGCCTCTTGCTAGACTATAAGCTCCTCAAAAGGCAGGAACCATAGCTTAGTCTTCCTCTTTAGTATTTTCTATGCCACACAGAGTACCTGAAACACAGAAGAATCTCCATAATTTGTTAGATACATAATTAAAGATCTTCCTAGAAGTATAGTCAAAATTGGTAGATTATGGGCCCCTCCAAATCTGGTGGCCAGCACCAAGAAAAATGTGGCTTTACCCCTTCTCTGAAAAAAAAGTTGGATGCTGTCATCATCTCTAGATAGTCCACTGCCAAACAGCTATGTATGTGGCACCCAACTCAGAGCAGAAAAATAAAATCATTAAGGCCAAACACCCACAACCATTGACAATACGCTTCTCCCTCCAAATCCATTCTAATACTGCCAGACTGACAGATATCATACATGGCTATAGTCAGATTCAAAATCAAGAGAAAATCAACACTGCTGTGCCTACAGAACAAGATACAACAGCTCAGGAGAAATAGCAAAATGGGCATCTGCTACTTTTTTTCCAACCTATAAGGAAACTTCTCCCTTCCTGTTATATATGATTTTGGTAGGTCTATCATATAGCCAGCCTTCCCCATTATCAAGATGGGTACAAGCCCTACTTAGTTCCTCCACCTGTCGCAGGAATTTGAATCCTGAGTGAAGTGATATGAAAATAGAAAACAATTGCCGAGAGTCAATTCAGCCAGTGCCATGAAGGGTTCCTCATAGACGTATCCCTGAAACAGCCTTGGTTCCTGACCTTGTCAAGGCTTGATTGTCTATTTCTGGGATCTACATGGTAGTCTCCAATAAATGCCTTTTCCTTAAATTAGATAGTATTATGTAGCTCTCCATCAAAGAATCTTGACATATACAATGGACCCTGGAAGTGGAGTGTAGCTAGTGGTGGACCTAAAATATTAAAATGAGGGCAGGCAGTAAGGATTTCCCTACCCACTACAAAGAGGCAGTGCTTGCAGTCTGTGTTACGCCATTGCAAACTACGCTACTTCCACTTGTGTTTCGGGATATAGTTCACATGCCTCTCCAGGCTAAGTCTTCAGGGAAGTTGGCAGGAAAATGTCAAAATACTGGTACATGTAGCCATTTCTGACAGCTTTTGTTACAATCCTAGAAGTGACTTAGCTATAGCCAAGGTGGTCTATCTGAATGCAGAGGAAACTCTCCCTCACTAAAACTGGCCCTCCTCCTGGTAGAAATCCAAGAGGACAGAGAGTTAGATAATCATGAAGGACTATGCAATTTGTATTATTGGCCCTGAGTCAATAATAATGTTAGAAAATACAGGAAAAAAAAAAAGGAAGGAAACATAGCAAAAGATAAGATTAGGACCAAGAGAATTGGGGGAAGCCTGATTCCCCAAATACCCTCTAATATATACTCCCTCTCTGGCAAAGAGCTAAGCGCTGGGATGAAGCCACAGGATGAGGAACAAACTAGCTTTGTCTTTATCCCAGAGGCAAAACAATAAGCAGAAAAATTAAGGGCTGGAGACAGGCAGAGCAGCCAGGCTTACTTTTAAGAAAGAAACCCCCAAGCTAGGGCCCAGAGTCAAGAATCAATCCACAGCACAGAAAATGCATATAAAGACCAGCAGCTTGAGTTAAACTTCCATAGAAACCTTGGAAAATAAAACTTTATTCCTCCAAAGTCAATCTCTGGGTGTCCTAACCAACAGCACTTCCAGAATTTAGGATAGTCAAATAATATATCTCTATTAGGAAAATCCTACCCAGGGTGCTTCGCAAATGTGTCCATTGATTTCATGAGGCAACAGAAAGCCAATTCAATAGTAGTTAGGTACATAAGGCAGTGATGTATACTGAATCTACATGTGTCTATGACATTGAAGGGAAAATCTAATCATGGAACAATAATAGCTAAATGCAATGATCTTTGTAACATTTAAGACTATCACCAACCTAGCATCCAAGTTAAGGTATATCAACAACTTTCTACAAAGACACAGGGACCAAAAGAATTAGATGCAGACAATGGGGAAAAAAATAGAGAAAAATTAACTGGAAACAGATTATGTTGTGGAAATACAGAAAAAAAATAAATTTCTTGAGGTGTGCTAATAGAATGGCTTTGATTTACAAAGAGTCTAAATCAAAGAAAATTTATTTATTTTTTAGACAGAGTTTGGCTCTTGTTGCCCAGTCTGGAGTGCAATGGCACGATCTCAGCTCACTGCAACGTCCGCCTCCCGGGTTCAAGCAATTCTCCTGCCTCAGCCTCCCGAGTAGCTGGGATTACAATCATGTGCCACCATGCCTAACTAATTTGGTATTTTTAGTACTGATGGGGTTTCTCCATATTGGTCTCGAACTCCTGACCTCAGGTGATCTGCCCACCTGGGGGGCTATTTATCTTAAACCATCTACACCCTGTCAATTTATTTCACCATGCTATCTGGGTAGTTAGGTTGCCAAATGAAGCCATCTTGAAAGGAGCTACTGGATAGAAACCTGAGTGCTGCTTTCCTTCCTCTGTGAAAAGTGAGCTTGGATGCTGCAATGCACCAGGCAGAATCAGAGTATCTACAGAGGTAGTTCCTAGAGTACTCCCTCCGGGAGGTACTGGTACAAGGTGTCTTTTTCTTACTCCTTCTGGAGAAGTGTCTCCCACAGGTAATAAAACCTATACTATATTTCCGTTAAATGGCACAGAATCACATAGAAGCAGAGAAAAAAAATTCTAATTCCATATGTGTAGGACCTGTCACTTACTTGCTAAGAGAAAGAAAACCTAATTCCCCAGATCCACTGCATTCTTCCATTATTTCCAGTAACTGCCCTGAGAAAATAGCATTAGAGACAAACTAGAAGGAATATTTATGTTCTGTGAACAAAGGAAAGAACACAGGGTACGTGGGGTCACGATGAGTAACAGCAAGCCTGAGATGATTCTGCTAAAGATCATCGCTTTAACTTTAACGCTCATGAATGCTAGGCCTTGGTTTGGCTTATTAAAATAGTGCTGGGTGGTAAGAGAGAAGTTGGCACATTTTTCTGTAGATGAGATAGCCCTGGGGAATTGAACGACAGTTGGGATACAGCTGCCATGGCTAAAACCAAGCACGTACAGATGTCACCCCCAAAGTGGAAATAATTTCATACCATCCCACGCTGCCAAATTCAAAATGCCAATGGAGGAAAGGTATTGGGGAAGGCAGTCATTAACATAGACTAGATAACTATTTTAAATACCGTTCTGTGTACAACTAAAACTTCTGCTGCTGAGATCCGTGAGCAACAGTTATTATGGTTTAAAGAGCTCGATCAAAAATCTTACTGCTCAGCAAAATGAAAACAATACAATGTGCTATTCTCAGAGATTGGAACCGCCACATCAAATTCAGTCACTAGACATTAGACTTTGTAATGCCAAATGTTTGGAAAATGTCCTTTTAGAAGGCAATAATTTTCTCTTTTTTCTTCCTTCAATAGTTGTTTTCCTTGTAAGTAGTGCTACCATTTTCTATGTTCTTAACTGATATGTTAGGTAAGAAGACACTAAAAGCACGCAGCACCATATCACAGTACTCATTTCCCTTAGAGAGATAACCCAGGGAAAGGGAACATTTCACACACACACACACACACACACCGACCCTTGACTTACCAAATGCCTTCTTAGGTTCTATTAACGTCATGGTAAAGAGTTCTTCTTTTTTTAATTCCTTTAACTTCTTAGCAACATCATAGTGACGCCACCCAACAATATTTTCTCCATTTATGGATTCAATATGATCCCCAACACAGATTGTTTTAACTGAGTCAATAATACCACCATCTTTAATTCCCTGAAAGAAAATTAATAGCATAATATAAAACAGAACTGTGTAATGAACACACCAATCTCATCTGATCTTGGAAGCTAAGCAGGGTTGGGCCTGGTTAGTACTTGGATGGGAGACTACCTGGGAATACCAGGTGCTGTAGGTTTAAAAAAAAAAAAAAAGTGTGTAACAATACTTTTTATGCTTTTGAGACATTACATACAATGTATTGACATAACAATGCAGTCTGAGGCTCAGTTAGAGACAGAAGACTGAGCAACCAAGAACAACCATCTTACCTCCAACCATTCTTCATCTTCCTTATCATTCAGAATTCAGCTCACTCATAGTCACCACCTCCTCTGCAAAGCTTTCCTGACGTTCCCCAACCCACTCTCCAAAGAACGGGTAAGGTGCCACTCTCATGCTTCTACAGCACTTTTTGCTGTATATGCTGAACTCTAAAGTAAGCACTGTACATTCATTATTTCATTTAATTCTAACAACCTTTATGAGATTCTCATGTCACAGGTCAGGAAGAGTAAAGCTTCAGAAGATCAAGTAACTTGCCAGATTCAACATACCACAGTGCGATTGTTCATTTACTTCTCACTCTCCATTACTAAACTAATATCCTTGAGGACAGAGATGGTCTTATTCACTACCACGTGACTGTGCCCAGTACAATATCTGCAAAGAAAAGTCCCTTCATAAATGATTACTGAATTGTTTCAGTTGTGGCCCATCACATGAGAATAGAGCTTGAGCTTTTTCGATTGGCTGCATTTAGTTACAAATGCGAAGACACAAAGAATAATACCATCTTAGCTAAGATGGCTGATACCCAATAAAAGACAAGTATGGTTATTTTGGGAACCAGTAAGGGTGATTTTATGCTATTGTTTTTCATTTTTGTATTTTAGTTGAAGAGAATGTAGGATCCCAAGGAGAAACTTCAGGTTGGTCCTTCTTAAATCTATCTTACTTCTCTACAATACAGTTATAGGATAGTCTCAAAATGAATTCTAAGATTCCCAAGATGGCATCAAAAATTTCTGAAAGGATTTTAGGAGCAGGAGCTCCAGAAAACTCTTCCAGAATTGAAGAAAACAACCCTGAAGACGATGTACAAGTTCTTCTACAGTGATGAGGAATGGGGTAAAACAAAACCATAATCTGTCTCAAAAGTCCCAAATCCTTCATAAGAATGAAAGCAATATTAGAAGTCGCTGCTATTGTGTAATAAAGGCTGGGTATTCTCCACGCTTGCTAGGTGGAAGTATAACATCTTCTGAATCAGCTGGGTGATTGATCATTGTGTCCAAGAGCTAAGAGAAAACTGATCTCCTCTATCTCCAGCACCTCCATCATATTGTCATCAGGAACAAGAATAACTTAGGAAGGTTAAGCATTTTTAATGTTTAAGTTGCATTATTAGAAACCAAAACTCATAATACATTTCTTTTTTATCCCAAATTTTAAGAATACTGCTATGTTCATTCATTCTAATAGTGACTGTTAACATGCTATATGCAAATGTCACAATAATGCCAATTGAAACAGAGCTCACTGTCATTGCAAATAAACTATAAAGAAAAGAAACCAGAAGTTTCATAATCTACCTGACATTGTTTTATTAGAAACCCGTATTAACCTTATATCGCTAATGGAAACAATGGGAACCACTCAGTAACTAGTTTCTAAGCTGTCATAGAAAAATAAAGAAGATTAAAGACGAGAGTCTAAAAAAGAAAATAATTATTAAATATTGGTATACAGCCATTCTTAAGTCATCAAAGAATTCTAACAATCTATATATATATATATATATATATATATATATATATATATAT